CCGCCGGCGCCACCTGAAGCCCAATCACCTCTCGCCCCCCTCCCAATCCCAGCACCTAGCCAACAGCCAACAGCCCCGTAGAAGTGACACCTCAATCAATTCATGCCCCTTCCTATATAACCCAGCACCTTTCCCTAATAAAGCGGAATTCTCTGGTGAATTGCTGCTGTGTGTCGCTCCTTTCCTTTCACTAGGCAAAATAGGAAAAGAAGATAAGGATTGGACGTAAAGAAACAAAGCTGTTAAACACACACACAAGGAAGGAACACTACATGTGATGTGAAATGCAAAATATCTTGCCCAAGGGCAAATGGTGATTAGCAGAGCCAGGAGTTCACACCTAATTTGACTCCAAAGTGTGGACTCAGTAACTTCTGCTCTCTTGCCTACTGAACTAGAAGAGTAGAGAAAAAGACATCAGTTCAGTTGTAATCTAAACTACAGTCTTGCTCCTCATAAAATTCTGCACCAGTTAAAGGCTTAAACAGATTTTTTTTTAATGTGTATCCTAGCAAAGTTTTATATTTCTGCTAGATTTAATTTTCCCTGTTTAAGATGTTTCCACTCTTTCCATATGATTTACAGTGCCACAGGGAATATTATTCGTCTTTGTATGTATAGGTTAATTTCTTGTAAGTTTATTTTCTTTGGATATGTTTCCATGAGTGGGATTAATAAGTCAAAAGTTGTGAATAGTATGGCTATTGATATTTATTAGCTAATTTCTTTCTAAAGCAATTTGTAGTGGCCCTGGAAAGATACATGATAAATGAGTCTGTAAATATATGATTGACCCATGAGTTAAGGGCTTCTTTAAACAGTGTTTACACTTGGATAGTAGTGTTTTACTAACTCATGAATGTGGTATATTGAAGTCTTCTTTAAAATAGATTTTTGTATTGCAAAGTAATTTGCTATAATTAGCTTTACTTATATTTAACTTATTATTTTTTAGTATATACATTACTATTATTGACACTAGAATTTGGGGGCTTAATCATATAATTCTAACTTTTTACATGTTTGAAATTTTCATAATAAAACTGAAAAAATTCTCTATTAGCAAAATATTCCTTTGATTTTTAAAAACAAATTTCAGATTTTCATGTGGTGAAATATTTTGTTGCATTTAATTTTTCTCTGAATCAGAAAAAGAAAGGAATCATCAAATCATGCCACACACCTCCGCCTCACACACTCACACACACACACACACACACACACACACACACACACACACACACACACACGAGAAGCAGAGGCTAGTAGGTAAGATCACAGAATTTAGAACCAACCTGCCTGCATTTAAACATGACTCCACCATATACTGGCTCTGTAACCTGAAACAAATTGCTTTACTTTCCTTAGCTTCAATTTTCTCTGTAAAAATGGTTGCACTAATGTTGTTGGGAAGACTATATAAATTGTGTGCCTAAGGCATTTAGAATAATTCCTTGCTCATAGTCAGTATTCAATAAGACTTAGCTATTGTTATGGCAGAAGTATTGGAGTATCTGCCAGATGTGTGTTAGATCAGTAGCTTTTATAGTTACCTTCTACTATTCTTTTTCTCCATTATACTTTTCTTACATTTAATTTTGGACTATTTTATACCTATGTTGATTGATGCTTCTATTTTGTTCCTTTGTTTCTGGGTAGGCAGAAATATAACACGTCCAAAATGTATAGTCTTTATAGGATATAGAGAGGAGGTGGGCAAAGAAGGTATCAAACAGCTAGTTCTCTGATTTTGGTTTCAATGTTCTCTCCTTGTACTCTTGAATCTTTATTTTTTGTTGTCCTCTTCTTTACTTTACAGAGTAAATGCATTTATGGAAAAAGAAAAATTGATGGCAACATAATAGTAGAATACTGTAGCACTGCAATGGATTCCTCAGTGGAAAACAACACGTTTGTAAACAAAGTGTGGATTCAGTGTGAAAATGAAAGTTGTTTGAAATGGAGATTCTTATCAAATGACGATGCAGCCAAACTTGATCACAACAAACCATGGTACTGTTTCATGAACACTGATTCAAGATACAATGAGTGCTCTATTTCTGAAGAAAATTTTCCTGAAGAGTCTCAGCTTCATCAAAGTGGATTTAAGATAGTCTATTCACAGCTCCCTCTTGGAAGCCTGGTTTTGGTAAAATTACAGAATTGGCCAAGGTAAGGTTTTTGTTTCTTTGTAATAAACTATTGAGTTCTAGTCTTGCTAATTTATGAATTTTCAAAACTTTTGAGTCATCTTTTTCCTGTTGTTTGTCTAATTTCTTGCTTGTTTTTTTATCTCATTATAATTCTTTCCCTGATTTTTTTTGGGCTTAATTGTTCTATTTCCTTAGATTGGAAACTTTAGTGACTGATTCCAGTCTTTTTTTCCTTCTGATATAGGCAATTAAAGCTATAAATTTCTCTCTAAGTATTGCTCTCACTACATCCCACAAATTTTGATATGTTGTGTTTCATTACCATTCAATTTGAAATATTTACTAATCTTTGTGATCTGTTCTTTGAAATGAGTTATTGGGAGTTTTTTTAATCAAAGCATACTTGAAGAACTATGTTTTTGAATTATCAAATTTTGAAATTTGTTAGTCTCTTATTATTGATTTCTAATTTAAATCCATTCTAGTTAGTTTCATCGAATCTTATTTTATGGCTCAGCACAACCTATCTTAAAAAGCATGTGTATTTTGTAATTGCTGCTGAGATGCTTAAAATATTTGTTTTCTTTTTCTTTAGATTTCTGTTTATTTACTATTGTATAGTTCAGGGTTTCCCAATCTGGGTTGATTTTCCCAAGTATGCAGTGTACACTTGCAGTATTAATAGTTTCAAGTCTTTTAAAATTCAATTAAGCTTTTTAAAATTATAAGCAGTTTATTCTCTTGTATTGCTCTGGGTTTCTTATTTTATTGCTCCTATATTACTTATGGTGGGTCTTCTTTGGTTACCTTCGGTAGTACTTTTTAAAAAAATTTTTATTAAGGTATTATTGATATACACTCTTATGAAGGTTTCACATGAAAAAACAATGTGGTTACTACATTTACGCATATTATCAAGTCCCCACCCATACCCCATTGCAGACACTGTCCATCGGTGTAGTAAGATGCCACAGATTCACTATTTGCCTTCTCTGTGCTACACTGTTTTCCCTGTCACTCCTAATACCATGTGTACTAAACATAATACTCCTCAATCCCTTTCTCCCTCCCTACCCTCCCGCCCTCCTACACCCCTCTCCTTTGGTAACCGCTAGTTCCTTCTTGTAGTCTATGAGTTTGCTGCTGTTTTGTTCCTGCAGTTTTGCTTCGTTTTATATTCCACAAATGAGGGAAATCACTTGACACTTGTCTTTCTCCACCTGGTTTTTTTCACTGAGTATAATGTCCTCCAGGTCAATCCATGTTCTTGCAAATGGTAGGATTTCTTCCTTATGGCTGAATAGTATTCCATTGTGTATATGTACCACATCTTCTATCCGTTCATCTACTGATGGACACTTAGTTTGCTTCCATATCTTGGGTATTTGTAAATAGTGCTGCGATAAACATGGGGATACATATGTCTTTTTGAATCTAAGAACTTGTATGCTTTGGGTAAATTCCAAGGAGTGGGATTCCTGGGTCAAATGGTATTTCTATTTTTAATTTTTTGAGGAACCTCCATATTGCTTTCCACAAAGGTTGAACTACTTACATTCCCACCAGCAGTGTAGGAGGGTACCCCTTTCTCCACGTCCTCGCCAGCATTTGTTCTTAGTCTTTTCGATGCTGGCCATCCTTACGGGTCTGAGGTGATATCTCATTGTGGTTTTAATTTACATTTGCCTGATGATTAGTGATGTGGAGCATCTTTTCATGTGTTTCTTGGCCATCTGAATTTCTTCTTTGGAGAATTGTCTCTTCACATCCTCCACCCAGTTTTTAATCAAGTTATTTGCTTTTTGGGTGTTGAGGCATGTTGAGTTCTTTATATATTTTGAATGTTAACCCCTTGTCAGATAGGTAGTTTATGAATATATTCTCCCATACTGTAGGATGCCTTTTTGTTCTACTGATGGTGTCCTTTGCCATACAGAAACTTTAATTTGATGTAGTCCCATGTGTAGATTTTTGCTTTTGTTTCTCTTGATCATGCAGATGCGTTCACAAAGAAGTTGCTCATGTTTATATTCAGGAGATTTTTGCCTATGTTGTCTTCTAAGAGTTTTATGGTTTCATGACTTACATTCAGGTCTTTGATCCATTTTGAGTTTACTTTTGTATATGGGGTTAAACAATAATCCACTTTCATACTCTTGTATGTAGCTGTACAGTTTTGCCAACACCAGTTGTTGAAGAGGCTGTCATTTCCCCATTGTATGTCCATGGTTCCTTTATCATATATTAATTGACCATATATGCTTGGGTTTATATCTGGGCTCTCTGGTCTGTTCCATTGGTCTGTGGGTCTGTTCTTATGCCAGTACCAAATTGTCTTGATTACTATGGCTTTGTAGTAGAGCTTGAAGTTGGGGAGCATAATCCCCCTTGCTTTATTCTTCCTTCTCAGGATTGCTTTGGCTATTCAGGGTCTTTTGTAGTTCCATATGAATCTTAGAATGATTTGCTCTAGTTCATTGAGGAATGCTGTTGGTATGCATTGAGTCTGTAGATTGCTGTGGGCAGGATGACCATTTTGACAATATTAATTCTTCCTATCCATGAACACGGGATGTGTTTCCATTTATTGGTGTCTTTTTTAATTTCTCTCATGAGTGTCTTATAGTTTTCAGAGTATAGGTCTTTCACTTCCTTGGTTAGGTTTATTCCTAGGTATTTTATTCTTTTTGATGCAATTGTGAATGGAATTGTTTTCCTGATTTCTCTTTCTGCTAGTTCATCATTAGTGTATAGGAATGCAACAGATTTCTGTGTATTAATTTAGTATTCCGCAATGTTCCTGAATTCAGATATTAGATCTAGTAGTTTTGGAATGGATTCTTTAGGGTTTTTTATGTATAATATCTGTCATCTGCAAACAGGGACAGTTTAATTTCTTCCTTGCCAATCTGCATGCCTTTTCTTTCTTTGTGTTGTCTGATTGCCGTGGCTAAGGCCTCCATATCCTTGTCTTGTTCCCAATTTTAAATGAAAGGCTTTCAGCTTCTTGTTAAGTATAATGTTGGCTTTGGGTTTGTTATATATAGCCTTTATTATGTTGAGGTACTTGCCCTCTATATCCATTTTGTTTAGAGTTTTTATCATAAACAGATGTTGAATTTTGTCAAATGCTTTTTCAGCATCTATGGAGATAATCATGTGCTTTTTGTTCTTCTTTTTGTTGATGTGGTGGATGACATTGATGGATTTTCGAATGTTTTACCATCCTTGCATCCCTGGAATAAATCCTACTTGATCATGATGGATGATCTTTTTGATGTATTTTTTGTTGAGTATTTTTGCATTTATGTTCATTAGGGTTATTTGTCTGTAATTTTCTTTTTTTGTGGTGTTTTTGCCTGGTTTTGGTATTAGAGTGATGTTGGCCTCATAGAATGAGTTCGGGTATATTCCCTCTTCTTTTACTTTTTGGAAAAATTTAAGGCAGATGGGTATTATGTCTTCACTATATGTTTGATAAAATCCAGCAGTGAAGCCATCTGGTCCAGGCTTTTGTTCTTAGGCAGGTTTTTGATTACCAGTTCAATTTCATTGCTGGTAATTTGTTCAGATTTTATGTTTCTTCCTCAGTCAGTGTTGGAAGGTTGTATTTTTCTCTATGCACCCAACAGAGGAGCACCACAAAGGAAAGTTGTCCATTTCTTCTAGGTTATCCAGTTTGTTAACATATAATTTTTCATAGTATTCTCTAATAATCCTTTGTATTTCTGTGGTGTCTGTAGTGATTTTTCCTTTCTCATTTCTGATTCTGTTTATGTGTGTAGACTCTTTTTTTCTTGATAAGTCTGGCTAGGGGTTTATCTGTTTTGTTTATTTTCTTGAAGAATCAGCTTCTGCTTTCATTGATTCTTTGTATTCTTTTATTCTTCTTGATTTTATTTATTTCTGCTCTAATCTTTATTATGTCCCTGTTTCTACTGACTTTGCATCTCATTTGTTCTTCTTTTCCTAGTTTCATTAATTGTGAGTTTAGAATATTCATATGGGATCGTTCTTCTTTCCTGAGGTAGGCCTGTATTGCAATATACTTTCCTCTTAGCACAGCCTTCACTGCGTCCCATGGATTTTGCAGTGTTGAATTGTTGTTGTCATTTGTTTCCATATATTGCTTGATCTCTGTTTTTATTTGGTCATTGATCCATTGGTTATTTAGGAGTATGTTGTGAGCCTCCATGTGTTTGTGGGATTTTTAATTTTCTTTGCATAATTTATTTCTAGTTTCATACCTTTGTGGTCTGAGAAACTGGTTAGTACAATTTCAGTCTTTTTGAATTTACCGAGGCTCATTTTGTGGCCTCATATATGATCTATTCTTGAAAATGTTCCATGTACACTTGAGAAGAATGTGTATTCTGCTGCTTTTGGTTGTAAAGTTCTGTAAATGTCTGTTAGGTCCATCTGTTCTAATGTGCTGTTCATTGCCTCTGTCTCCTTACTTATTTTCTGTCTCATTTATCTGTCCTTCATAGTGAGTGGAGTGTTGAAGTCTCCTAGAATGAATGCATTGCATTCTATTTCCCCTTTTAATTCTGTTAGTATTCGTTTCACATATGTTGGTGCTCCTGTGTCGGGTGCATAGATATAATGGTTATATCTTCTTGTTGGATTGACCCCTTTATCATTATGTAATGTCCTTCTTTTTCTCTTGTGACTTTCTTTGTTTAGAAGTCTATTTTCTCTGATACAAGTACTCCAACACCTGCTTTTTTCTCCCTCTTACTTGCACCAAATATCTTTTTCCATCCTTTCACTTCTTGTCTGTGTGTGTTTGGGGTTTAAAGTGAGTCTCTTCTACGCAGCATATAGATGGGTCTTGTTTTTTTATCCATTCAGTGACTCTATGTATTTTGATTGGTGCATTCAGTTCATTTACATTTAGGGTAATTATCGATAGGTATGTACTTATTGTTATTGCAGGCTTTAGATTCGTGGTTACCAAAGGTTCAAGGTTAACTTCCTTACTATCTAAGAGTCTAACTTAACTCACTTAATATGGTA